ATGTTTGCAACCCACAACAGACTGTGTATTGAACCCCTAGAAATAAACAGGAAAGAGACAAACGACTCAGTTTTAAGATGGACAGAGACTTGAACGGGGGCTCCACAGAATTATGAAAGCGCCCATAGTGTGAAATGACACTGACCGTAGCCCTCTGTGGAGGATGTGTGGGGTGAAGCCAGGGTCCCATCACTGCACCACCCCCAGAAGAGCCAGACCACAAAGGGACCAGAGGCCGTCCATCCCAGACTCCACCACCTTGCCCCCGCCTTCGAGGTCCAAGCTGCCCTCCCCTCCCGCTGGGACCAGAGTGGTAGCTTCCACCTTGGCCCCTCCTGCACTCCTGCTGTGGTCAGCCTCCTCGCCACCGTGCAGTGAGAGACCCTTTAAAAAATACAAAGCAGAACATAGCACCCTCCCATTGCAGGTCCTCCCCCAGCCCAAGAGGCCCTGTGAGATGTCACCCTGACTCGCCTCCCGGCGTGTTGTGCCTTGAATGTGCAATGGAAGACGCCATTGCCACACAGTGTCCCAGGAACCCTCCCTCTGGCACCCTCTGTGCGCAGCCCTTCCGTGTCCGTGTGACTTGCTCCGACCGACGGTGTGGAAGGAAATTTGTGCCTCATTCTGACCAGACGCTTGGAGAGCCAGCAGGGAGCTGCTCTCTGCGCCGGTGGGCTGGCCGGCAGGGCTCCATCCAGGGAGGAGGGTGCTGCCCACCAGCCCCAGCGGCCGCCCTGAGTGAAGAGGGCAGCGATGGCAGTGGCAGCAGCCGGCCCCGGATGGACATGTGGGGCGAGTGGGAAATGAGGGTTACGTGTTTCCATAGCACAGCCCGGTGCCAGCCTGTCCTGATCACGCCCGTCCAAGCTCATTCTTGCCTCAGGGAGTTTGTCCCCACTGACCCCTCCCCCAGCCGGTCAGCTGCACTGGGAACACACATGAGCTACTCGATCCCTTTCTCACCACGTCCACATGCCTCCAGCTGCAAATTTCCAGTCAGCTGCGTCCAACAACACACGGAGAGCTGCAGACGAGCTGAGCCAAAGCAAGGAGAGAAGATACGTGGTGTCTTGGTTTCTATGAAATTCAAAAGCAGGCAAAGCTGCAGTGCTTGGTGAGGCCTCTGTGGAGACTAAGATAATACAACCAAAGCGTAGCAAGCCGGTGGCCG